CGCCGCCGCCGCCCAGCTCTGTTTTGTTTTGTTTCGACGTGTTGTTGATGCCAGCGGGGCGGCGGCGGCTGCTGCTGCTGCTCCTCCTCCTTTTGTGGGCGGGTGGTGCTTTAGGATCGCAGCCAAGGCCTGTGATGATGCATAGTTCCTGGAAGAAATCCCCATTCAGGCGAGCGCCCCACAGGATCAGCGGACTCTCTCCTCTGAACTCAGCCCAGCCCCAGGAGACCTTCCTCCTCTCCCCTCCCCTCCCTCCCTCCCAACAATCCAGCGGGACCAGCTTGTGAGAGACTTTCCTAGGCACTTCTCGTGTTGCGTCACACCCGAAGCCCTTCCAAACACGCCTGCCTCGACTGGCCTGTTCTTTGCTTTGTTTTAGTGCTGGTTGTCCTGACGGCATACGGCCAGCCGCTGCACCAGGAGACTGGAGAGGAGTAGCACATCATGTGACACAGGCTTTTAGGAAGGGGCTCGGAGGGGAACCAGGAAATTAGTAGAAATGTTGTTAAGGACAGACTGGTTAGGCACATGGAGGGACAAAGCCTGTGGAGGGGAAATCAGCATGGCTTCTGCAAAGGGAAGTCCTCCCTCACCAACCTTCTGGGATTCTTTGAGAAACTGAACAAACATGTAGTAGATAATGGTGACCCAGTAGATGGAGGTCTGGACTCGCCGCGGCTGAGAGGGAAGAGCCCAGCCCGTGGGGTGACAGCGGATAGCTCAGTGCAAGTGTCAGCCCGGTGTGCTGCCCCAATGGAAGAGGAAGAAAAGACTGGAAATGGAACAGCTGATATTATAATAATCCCCATCTGATCTGTGTGACCTGTGGCCCATCTTGTCCAACATCAGGGGAAGGCCTTGGCCTCTGTGACCTATTGCTGGCCCTCCACTGAGGAAGGGGGGGCCTTGTGGACACACACACACACACACACACACACAGAGTTTTACAGAAAACCCCCCATAAAGAGTAGAACTGAAAGACTGCAGGGTACAAATCGTACCGTCTGTGGCTGTGTCTATGTAAAACTTGAATAAGCTCACAAGTTCTTCCTGTTGTGCCTGGTCCCAAGGTGCTTCTCGGTGGTGCTTGGTTTTTAAATCGGAACCTCCCCACCTGCTCCTGCCTCTCGTGGTCTTTGGCAAGGGAGCCCCTTCTCACCCCCCCCCCCACGCTAGGATGGGGTGTCAAACCGGCCCATTCAGGGGCTCTTATCCAGCCCGTGAGCAACTGGTCATTTACCTGGACTGACAAATGACGAAGCCTCCGAGGCATCGTGTCCCCGTATATGCGGCCCCCGGGCTAATGAGTCATGGGTGGTGGAGGAAGTGGGAGGGTGGGCATCAGGGAGATACTTCAGGGAAATACTGTTAAGAGTGTCAGTGTTTAAAGCATGTTTGTATTTTGGGTAAGAAATAATACTGTTAATTCAGTTTGTCTGTGTCCTTTAGTAAGTTTATCTCTCCGGTACCAGGCATTACACTTTTTGGCACAAAGTGACATTCCTGTTAGATCTGGCCCTCGTAACAAATGAGTTTGGCCCCTCTGCACTAGGGGGCCTGACGCCAGCCACGCTGCCTTGGACCCCATCCAGAGACCCTTGGGCAGGCAGTGCTGTGCCGTGGTCAGAGTGCGGGGCTAGGGAGGTGCCGAGACAAAGCCCCTTGCAGGTGTGATGAGTGCCTCTTGATGGCCTTTGGCCAGCTGCTCGCTCTTCCTTTCTCAGCCTAGCCTACTTCGCAAGGTTGTTGTGAGAGTAAAATGAGGGAGGTGAGAATTCGGGATGCTGCCCAGAGCTCCACGGAGATAAAAACCAACTCTTGGATTCTGCACGGGGAGGGATCTATTTATTTATTTGTTTATTTTCCCGCTTATACCCCCCGCCCCCGCCCCACCCGGCCGAAGCCACAAGATAAGATCCATGATAACACTCAAGGTTTCATAAAACACTTACAAACACGTCAATTAAAACAATACCATATTAAATATGAAAGTGCTAGCTGTGTTCTTTGATACTGTAACGATGGCAGTTTCCGTATGAATGCATTCCATAGTTGTTTAAATATCCAGTTAACTGATCTTCTTCAGTGTAACCGGTGAGTCCCTCCCTTCTCGCAGCCACTGGGCACTGTTTAGTTCTGTGCAGGGCTCTAGTCGGGGGGGAGCTCTCAGGTACGGAGCTCCGGAAGAGAACCTCTAGGGGGCGGGGCGGTCATGTGGTGAAGCCCCGCCCCCTTCTTTACCCCGCCCTCTGCTTCGATCCTCATTCCGTTTGGGAATGAGGATGAAGCAGGAGGGTAAGTAGCCGGGCCTTCTGACACACTTCCGGTGATGTCAGGGGGTGTGGCCTTCTGTCACTTCCGGTGATGTCAGGGGGCATGGCATATGCAAATAAGTTATGCTAATGAGTTATGCTAATGAGCTCCGGCAGCTCTTTTTCTACAACAAGACCCCTGGTTCTGTGCCCCTTGACCTATGGGGCGTTTCCCCTCAGCCTGTAAGCAGAAGCATGGGGGGGGCGGGCAACACCGAAGCTTTTCCTCCGGGGGGCCCTTTCTGCTCCCCAGCCTGCCCCTTGGGGGAGGGCGTGAGGCCTGCAGGGAGGGGCAGAGGGGGTGTCTTGGCCTCTGCCCCTTTCAACCCCTTGCAAAGGAGAGGGAAGGGGGGGTGTCTCCCTCCGCCTCCACCTCCCTCCCTCCCTCCCTCCCGCTGCTTTGCCCAGCAGTGGCTCCGGCCTTCCAGAGGGGTCATACGGAGGCTTTGGACTGAGAACCTTCCGGCTTCCGGTGCTGCTGCTGCTTTCTGCTAGGCCCGGGAGCCAGGAATTAAGCAGAGTCATTACTAAGTGCCCTCCC